AAAACGACCGACATCCGCGCCGATTTCATGATCAACAACAGAACAGAATCACGCACGCCTTAAACTCGTGCGCCCACGCACCCTCTACTCTAGTCAACCATCCAACCTAAACATAAATCATAGACGCGGCCGCACCTAGCGCGGTATACTTAAAACTTTAAGCCAAAACTATTTTCTGTTGCGTGTAAAAACCAGGGCGGATACCCTTGTAAGGGTATTCGCACCGACACCGTAGGACCGCATCAAGACTCTTTAGGGAGTCAACTCACCGATTGCGGGAGCTCTGCCGGAACTAAGAAGGAGTTGTGGAGGCAGGGAACTGAGAGGTAACCATTGCTTGTCCCTCTATAAACCCAATTATAGCCCCTACTTGTATCACCCACTGCATCTCTGACTGAATATATGATGTGGAACCCTACTTTTTGGTTTGACTTTCAGAACACTGAACAAGACTAAGTAAAGGAATATCTGCTTAAGTTCAGTTTTAACTTATTGATTGAATGAAATCAGATTGATGAAAGAAATGACATCTAGGAAAGGCAGGATGGAGAACTGAATTGCCTGAGGGTTTGACTGGGTCAGTTAGGCTGGAAGACCCCCATAAGTTTGGGGAAACCCCAGTGCTTTGTTTTATTTTAGTTTTGATTGGAGCACCAGACCCTTCTATAAGTTTAGGGGGTCTGATTGCTTTGGAGGCTGGGATGTCCCCATAAGTTTGGGGAGACCCAGTGTTGTGGGTTGCCTGGAGGGTCAGGACACTCTATAAGTTTAGGTGTCGTGACTGCTTTGACTTGCGAGGGTTTGACTGCATTTGACTTTCGGGAGCTCAGGGCGCTCTATAAGTTTAGATACCCTAACTTGCCTTGTTTTCCTTGGGATTTCCTAAGTTTCTTTTGTTTCTGAAAGGGGGGACCGAGCTGTTCTGTAAGTTCAGGTGGCTCCGTCTCTTCCTGCTTTATTCTGAAGAAATAATCTTAGCAAAGAGGTAGACTCTTTTGTAAGTTAAGGGGGTTTGACTCGATGCCACACACATGATGGCTTAGATAGAAACGAATCTGGCACAGAGTTGGATTCTTTTGTAAGTTCAGGGGATCTGGCTCAAGGCCTCGCACATGCTGGAACCCAATGGTTATAATTTGGCTATACTTTACTATTATTTTATTTAAGAACGAGCTAATAAGACTGTTCTATAAGTTTAGGTGGTCTGACTATAGCCGTATCACAACTTGAAGAGAGTATAACTAAGAAAAAAACTGGTGGTAAGCCGGGGCAGACTAAGCTTAAGTTAGTTCGGTCATATGCATCCTTAGAAGATAAAGGGAAGACAAATATATATAACTTGGATATTTTAAACAGTTCAGGGCGAATAGAATGGTCTAGTCATGTGCCCAAAGAAGAGAGAAGTAGTTGTGCCCTCTGTCTGTGTATACTCTTTGACAAGTTAGGCTCATTCCATAAGTTAAGGTGACCTGACCTTATGCCTTATGTAAGCAGGGTATAAAGGGTTAAGTTATCAAAAGATTATGAACTATTGTTTGTCCAGATGAACTTGGGATGGTGAGAGTACTTACCTCCGTGGTTTGGCCTGCATGTGGCTGAGTGAGGATACTACTTGGTCTGAGTTTTAGTCTGATAGGTAGTTGCTTTAGTCGCTCGCCACGTGCTAAAGCCATAGGAGTTAGTTTCAATTCCTGCATTTTCTGAGCTAAGTTTTTTTTACTTAGATCAATTCTCGCATTTTCTGGGATCTTTTGTTATACTTGGCTTTGTATAAATTTTGGTAAGCGACTTTCTCTATGGGAAGCGTTGCGGAAATTTCTACAGATCCAATGAGTTAGTCAAATTTTAACTTGTCAAAGTTTAACTTGTTTTTTTGTTTTATTTGACCGAGTAAAAATTTGAAAAGTCTCATTTTCTAAAGGGAGTGATGCCCAAATTTTTCCTAATTCATAGAGTAAGACAAAATTGGACTTTGAGAAGTGAAAGTTACTCTCAAATTCTGAACTTAGCTTTGTAGAAATCTTGGGAGGGCACCTTTCTAAAGGGAGTGCTGCCAAAATTTCTGCAAAACTAAGGAGTTAGTTAAATCTTGTCTAAGTTGATCTCAAATTGTCTTTTGAGTTCATAACTGGCTTAGTATAAATCTGAGAAGTCTCCTTTTCTAAAGGGAGTGCTGCCCAAATTTTTGCTAATTAAGGAAGTTAGACAAAATTTGCATTCCGGAGTTAGAGATCATTTCTGCTTTCATATTTGGACTTATATAATTATGAAAAGACACTTTTTCTACGGGAAGCGCTGCGAAAATTTTCTTAGTTTAGAGGAGATAAATTATATTTGGACAGGTGGCGATTCTGGCGATCCACGCTGAATAGGGGAGATTCTGTCATTAGGCTATCTTTGCTTTGGGCACTTGCTTAGAGGTAAGCTTAGATATAGTTAACTAGGATGATTTTGGTAAGATCATGATATGGAGATTGTTCTTCGTGGACTTATAGGTTTATCCTGGGGCATTGACCTATCATGTGTTACATGTCCTCTTGATCGTTTGATTCAAGTTTAAGACTAGATTCAGCTTGATCCCTTGAGGATCATCGTCTGTTATCACTGATAACAGGTCGGTTGCCGATTCGTCGGTTTACGATTCAAATCCAATTCACTCCTGCCACTCAACCTAAAGGCTTTAGCCCTGTGGTTTATTTGTTTTGTTGTGTTCTTACCCGGACTTTATTGAATGGTCACTTAACAAAGATACTAATATTTTTATTGTCGGGAGGTTGTGTTGAGGTTGAGGTCTAAATGGCTAAAGCAAGGGGTATGAGTACAGAGAATGGTTGAAGTTGACCCAGTGTAGTGCATGAACTTTCTGGTTGAATCTTTGATGCGATTGCAGGTATGCTTGGTGATTCGGACTTGGGATTTGACTGCCTGCGCTCACATACCTATATATATGGCTGAGAGGAGTCCCACTGTGAGTGTGAGAAGTGATCGTCCTATATTAATAACCCTCTATATATATGTGTATATACATGACTTCAGTGTTTCGTGCGGCCAATTGTGACCGCGCGTAGGGGTTAAACAGATTATGTGTTTGAGAGAAAAGGGAGATCCCCTTTTATCCTTTGCTTCTTAGAGATTTTATGGCTGGACGTTGTAGTCCGTGGCAGCCGTCAAAGTCAAACCCCTTGACTTTCGCCCATGACCTGGAGTGAGACTCATCCCCAGGGCTGCAGGAAACGACTGCAACCACAGGTATGAAGTGCAGAAAAGGGTGTGTGGTCTTCAACCGCGCATGACGGTTGTCCAGCGTCAAGAGATTAACCCTCAAGGCGCGTGTCAGCCGACACTTGAGTGTCGAATGCGACCCTCGAGTCCGCGCGGTTTTATACTAAGTCGATATGATTTAGCCCTGCGTCCGCGCGGTTTTATACTAAGTCTCGCGCGTGACGCCTATCCAAATTCCGCATCACACGCGCAGTTTTATACATAGTATGTCATCATTGCGACTGCTTGTGTACGCTTGCATTGCGAGTCGATATGAGGTAGCCCTGCGTCCGCGCGGTTTTATACTAAGTCTCGCGCGTGACGCCTATCCAAATTCCGCATCGTAAAGTTATGGGATGGCTACTGAGGGGCTAGGAGCGTTGTCGCGTTGTTTGTGTTGTGTCGTTTCGTATGTGTGTTTGTGTGTGTGTTTTATTTTTGTGTTCGTAAAGTGGTGTGCGCGTGGTGTGTGGGAAGCGTCCTAGTCGACCGACGACGAGTCGCGCTGGACCTCAGCCCCCGAAGATGTCGGTTCGCGTGCGGTTTCGATAGGCGTATTACTGCGCATACCCCCTATGCTACAGCGAACGAGAAACGCCCTCGGCTGGTCCACCTCTGCGATTGCAACTGATTTGCTTTCGTACTGTGGACTGGTAGCTCAGCGGGGATACGCCCATCGAAGGGAGGTGACAACTCCCGTAAGGTGGAGGTAAGTCGTGCCTCGGGTAGGCCCTATCCTGTCGTAGGGGCTCGCGAGAGGTATGGCTGGTGCACTTGGCCGGAGCGGCTTTGTGGAAGCGCCATGTATATTCGCGATGAAGGATTTAGACCAACTCGTGCGTGACGCGGCCGGAAGGGTCCCGCCCTGCCCTGGTGCGGTGCCAGACCGATGCGCCCGATAACGTGGCCCGGGTGAGGAGGGAGTCCAGGAACGGGAGGACGTGGCTGAGTTTTATCAAGGCACTGGCGAGAGGTTGGAGGATTGGCGGAGGCGAGCAGGCAAGGGAGCTACAACGGAGGGGTCTTCCAGGAGGAAGGAAGGAGGGAGTGATCCGGCGGCTACCCCAGCAGGGAAGAGGCTTCACCAGCAGAACGTGATTGATGTCTACGGTGGCGAGTGGGTTGCTCACCACAAGAAGGCATTCCTTCGCTGGTTGTATTCCAGCGGGGTCTCCTTCAATGTTTTCCGCAACCAGGCGTGGAAGGCATATCAGCAGGTGCTTCTTGAGTAGCCTGACAGTTCCCCGCGCGCAGTGCTCCCCAACCACTACGAGATTGCGAGTATGCGGGCGGTGGAGACCCACCGTGCGGAGTTGGCGGAGGAGTTGGAGGAGCTGAGGCATCCATTCTGGGTGACTGGTGCCACCCTCCTCTCCGATGGGAGAAAATCACGAGACGGGGGACCGATCGTGAATTTCCTTGCTGCTGGCTCTCGAGCGGTCATCGTGTACACGACGATCAATCGAGAGGGCCAGGCGGACGATGCAGTGCACGTCCTTCAGAGATGGGTTACCATCTTCCACCAGTCCAGCTTCGGCGGGCCGCAGCGGATCAATGCGATATGCACTGACTCCGCTTCTGCCTATGTGGGGGCTGTGAGGGCATTGACCTCGCCGTCCATACCTCCTGCACTGAGGAGGATCACTTGGCTCCCGTGCTTCGTTTATGTCTGCAACGATTATTGTCAGACATGGGGACGAGTTGCGATGCGTTTGTGGACGCGATCACACGCGTTCGTGTGCTGGTGGTGTTTTTCAAAACCCACCAGGATGCGCAGCCCTGACAAGGGGCTTATTCTTTCTTGCGAGACGCGGTTCGCGTCTGTTTACTCCATGCTAGAGAGGCTGTTGGCCCTGCAGGACACTCTGCAGGATATGATGCGCGGGGTCGACGCGCGGGCTTTTGCTTCCATCCCATGGTCCGCCGATGTGTGCGTCACGGTGCGTTGGGTGCGCCGACAGATCAGATGGGATCCATGGTGGCAGAGGGTGGCCACCATCGTCCATATCATGCAGCCTGTCATGGAGTTGCTCAGGCGAATGGATCGTGGAGGGCAGTACATGTCCCTCATGATCGAGTGGACGCAGGATCTTGTCCGTCGTGTCACGGTCGCATGCGCCCCTTTGGGGAAGTCGTTCGCTGACCGGATCATCAGGCGTGTGCAGGCTCGCATACAACATACGCTTGAGTCGGCTCACTGCGCAGGGTTCTTAAGAACCCCCGCAGGCGACACGTTCGCTACTTTTCGGGGCAGGTGGAGTGGTACGATGCTTGGCTTGTGGGGCAAGCCAGGAGGTTCATTTTGACGCAGACGGGATTCGAGTTGGACGGTGCGGAGTACATCCTTGCATGTAGGCATTTTGAGGACTTCCACATTCAGCACGGCAGGTTCGGGGATTGGGGCGGTCCGGAGGGGCGTGCTCATGGGCGCCCGTGCAGCGGCAACAGCGAGACAATTGAGTGCGCGTCTTGGTGGTCTCAGTACGGGTCTCGCGCGCCAGAGTTGCAGCGTTGCGCTCTTCGGGTGATGCACATGTGGTCTTGCGCCTCTCCAGCGGAGAGGAACAGGGCAGTCCACGAGGGCATTCACACGAAGAAGTGCAACCAGTTGGCCTTCGAGAAGGTCGTGCAACTCGTTGAGATCACCGCAAATGTGCGGTTGACTGAGTATCGGCAGGCTGGATGCGGTTATGTGTTGCCATGGCAGCGGGACGAGGGCTTGCTGGATTGTCAGGCAGGACTCGAGTTGGAGCCTGTGCGCACGGGGACTCGCAGGGGGATTACGGACGAGGAGATTGCCCGTCAGGTTGCACTTATTACCCGGGATCCCATCGGGGCGTCCGCACCACCCTCGGCTGATGCCGTTTTCGATAGACGTGCTTGCATTTTTCGTCCCTACCCCAGGGAGGACGACTCAGACGAGGAGCCGATACCCGACGCGGCAGACGACCCTGCGCTCCTCATTCCCCGGGAGATCGACGAGACGCACGAGGATCCCGACTCCGAGGAGACGAGGGCACAAACTGCACACCAGTCGGCGGACCGGGCGGAGAGGGAGATGCTGGGGGGAGACGAGGAATTTTGGGGCCCATTCGGTGAGGTCGCTTCCACGGGCGGCCCGGAGGCGCAGGCGACGACCCCCACTCCGACGAGGCGGGATTCGTCCATGCCGCCACCTCCTGCTCCGAGTCCTGCACCACGATCGCCCGTCTCGCCACTTCAGCCGGACAGGGAGGAGTTGGGGTCCTCTTTGCCTTAGCACGGCCTTCTCCACAGAGGCGGGGCAGTCCGCCAGCTTAGGTAACGATCACCTTCCCAGGGGATATTGCAAGAGGAGGGGGCACCTTCGGCAGCAGCAGTGGAGAGTTCGGTGGCACCAGCGGCGGTGCCGGATGCGACGATTGCGGCCGAGGTGGAGGAGATAGCAGCAGCAGCATCATCATCAGTGCTGGAGGAGATGGCAGCATCAGTGCTGGAAGAGGATCCACCAGCGGCAGGAGGAGGTGCAGCAGTGGAGGGGCAAGTGGCAGCAGCCGGAGGAGCAGGTGGAGGAGCAGCAACAGTGGAGGTTGAGGTGGCAGCAGCAGTGGAGGAGGAGGAGGCACCGTCGGCAGCTGCAGCGGAGGAGGAGATAGCTGCACAGGCCGAGGTGCAGCATGGGGGCGATGACGAGCCCCTCATGCAACAGTTCCTCACGGAGGAGCTCGGTCCGGCCATAGCGGGTATGACCACGGGTGTGGAGAGGGGGTTTGGGATTTCAGATTCGGAGATGGGGACCCACTTAGACTTAGATTTGTCGGTGGGCCTTCCACCCAGTTGCGGCGGGGCGACATCGACGGACCGGGCTCCATCGAGGGACGAGGCGCCAGGCAGGACTTCGACGCAGACCGCGAGAGAGAGGACGACGACTGAGTCTCAAGATGCAGCACACGACATCATGGAGCAAGAGAGGGCAAGACTTTTGGCATCGACTGACCCTCGTGCTCAGGCGTTCGCACGGGCCGTAGAGGAGGCCAGGCGTCTAGAGATAAGGGGGGATTGTGTGCAGGATGGGGTGGTGGCGGGGGAGGACGTTGCGGAGGGAGTGGCAGCAGAGCTGGTACTCGAGGCTTTGCCGGGTGGAGCAGAGACAGTGGACGTTGCTGTTGAAGGACGGACTCTGGCGGTGGGTGAGGCTATGCAGGTAGGACAGCGATGAGTCGAGGGCGCTATAGACGCATGGCGCGAGGGGCAGGAGACAGCGACGGGTCCAGTCGTTCCGTTCTCGAGCCTGAACTTGGCTCAGGCCCGACAGCCGCAGGCAGTTCAGATGGCAGTGCATGGTGTGCCACCGCCCGTTATCACGGATTTGGGGTCCGAGCCGGTGGTTGGGCCCCACGTCTTCGTAACCACTTTGCTCCGGAGGAGGTCCGTCGTCCTTTGGATGCAGAGGAGTTGGCGAGAGAGGTTGTGCGCGATGTTACTCGCTTGGACCGACGGATCTTCGACCGGAGGCTTGAGCACCCACCATGGCAGTCGATCCCTTCGTTTCCATGGGGTCCTGCGTCGCCCGTGTGGTCTGGGTCTACCTCCACCGGAGGACATACCGCGGAACATGTTCCAGGGGTTTCTGGTGGCGTGACGGAGACAGCGCCACACACAGGAGACATGCCACCCCCTCCTCCCAGAGCACCTGCGGGTGATCCATCATCGTCGCCCACAGGCAGAGGCTCTCGATCCCCACACACGCCTGGGAGATCTAGGATTCGTGACACAACAGCAGTTCAGCAGGACGTGTGTGACACGACGATATTTGGGAGGATAGATATAGATTGGGATTCCACCAGCCGTGTCACGGAGCACACTGCACGCCTTCAGCCGGGCTTGGGAGGAGGACGCGCTAGGACGACCGCTGCGAGGGAGGTATCGGCATCACGTTGTGAGCCTCAGCGAGGTCGTGGCAGAGGAGTGTCGACCGAGACCTTGGAGTACGCTCTGAGAGCAGCGACGCGTGCCGTGCAGGACTAGACTCCACGCAAGCGTGGAGTGCCTCCTCGTCCACGCCCCGTGCCTGCAGAGGGAGGCGCAACACTTGGAAAGAGTTCGAGGGCGGAGGGGTTGGGGATGCCTCCTTGTTCCCGCCGTGAGCAGACCATTGCAGAGGCTAGTGCGAGGGTTGTTGTGTTGAGGAAGGGAGGAGGCCCAGTCACCATCGAGGAGGATGATCCTGATACGGATGCGGCTGTGTGGGATGCGGACGAGGACTACGAGGGCGAGGAGGGGGGAGAGGAGGATAGCAGGAGCGGTTCCGATGGTGACGATGACGACGACTACGATGAGCCCCCACCTTCCCCAAGACCCCCACCGACGCGTGCATCTAGACGCTCTGCTGCACGGATTTCTTCATCCTCACAAAGGAGGAAGAAGTCGACATCCGACACTCAAGGGGGCACGAGGAGACACAGCGGGAAGGGGAAGAAGGGTCGTTGACCGATGAGGCCAACAATCCGCTTCTCCCCTACTCGCACTGTACGTCGTCATGTTGTGCGGTTGTAGTTTTTTTGGTGGTCTGATTCGTCTCGTCTTGTCTTAGTATTGTGAGACACTCAATGGTTGTGTGCGTGCTTTACTTGTTGGTGTGTATGATTTTGGTAGCAGTAGGGTGTTCGTAGAGTATGATTTTGGTGCCAGTAGGCTGAGTAGGGTGTTCGTAGAGTGCCGTCGGTTGCAGCAGACTGAGTTCAGACTGTACACTATTTTTTTTTTCTTGTATTATTTAGGCTGCTACGACACGACTTGTAGACTATTGTTTCTTGTTTTTTTTTTGACATGTGGTGTCAGTGCATTAGCAGTAGGATACATTGTATCATGTTGCATTTGCATGTGTGATATTAGTGTCAGCCTCTCAGGTACTTCGCATCGTTCACGACTTTTCATGTACATTACATTATCTGTTACGAGTGATGCACGTTGCCTGCCCATTTTTTTGTCGGTGTGTGATTTTATATCTTTTATTATTGTTCTCATTTTCAATTTCATTTCTTGCATTTTTTTCTTTTAATTTATTTATGGCTTCGAGAGTTCGGTACTTGTTTTTTTTTT